CAGGGAAGGATGGTCTGAGCCCCATCTCTAAGTCCAGCTCCATGGAATAAATCACAATTTGCCTAAGTAGGTTTTGGTGATCCCATTTTCTTTTATAGAGCATAAGGGAAATTCTGCAGAGTGGCTTCTAGGGTAGATTTTTTTTTTTGTAGCATCTTAAAAATTATGTTCAGAAAGAAATCTCTTCTATTGCTGGACATTGTCATGTTTCCATGTGATGCCTGGAACACTGGTGGCCATTGTGGATGTTTGAGAGGTAAAAGAGTTTAAGGAGGGGCTGGGGATGTGGCTTAAGTCGTAGAGTGCTTGCCTAGCATGCATGAGGCCCTGGGTTCAATCCTCAGCACTACATAAAAATAAAATAAGGATATTGTGACACTTAAAACTAAAAAATAAGTATTTTTAAAAAAAGAGTTTAAGGAGACACTGCTGTGTACAGCAGAGCAGGAAGTAAAGGTCAACTGACTTATAGGCTTCTTGTTTTAAAAAAAACATTTTGAGTTGTTGCTTATTACCTATAACTGCTAGATATGAATAAGATATTGTTCTTGTTCCCCAGGGTCTCACAGTCAGTCAGAGAGACAAAGAAGTGAAATAACAGTTTAAGATTGCTATGACAAAAGAGCATAGTGGTCGAATTCAAATGCAATATGTTATTGACTTATAAAAGAGAAGCAGAGCAAGAAAAAATGTTTTGTAAAATTGCCCCTTGAAAGGAAAAATTTTCCAAATTTTCCTGCAATTAAAAATTTACACAATATACTTGTTCAGAGCTTTCTCTGTGCCCAAGTTCTTGCTCTTGCTTGGGCAGAAAAGATTAACTAATATTTGTTAATTAATATTATTTTTTATAAAATATAAAATTGAGAAAAAAAGCAAAGTTGCAGTTTCAGTAAATAGAACCAACTATTATAATAAAGAAATTATTTATCTTAATATTTTTAGTTGTAGATGGACACAATATTTTTATTTATTTGTATGTGGTCCCAGGGATCAAACCCAGTGCCTCATGCATGCTAGGCAGGTGCACTACCACTGAGCCACAACCCAGACCCTATCTTAATATTTTTTTAGCCCTAAAATTTGAAGGTGTTACAAAAAATGTGCTTTTTGTTACTTAAAGGAACTTGGTTCCAAATTGCAGATTTTCTCACATTTCTCTTATGGCATTTCCTATGGCTTCCAAAGGCCCATGTGTTAAAGGCCTGGTCCTTAGCCTGTGGTGCTATTGGGAGGTGGTAGCCTAGTGGGGGCCTAGTGGAAGGTCTTAGGTCACTGAGGCCATGTTCTCAAAGGGGACTGTGGAAACTTGGTCCCTTCTTCTTCCTTTGTTTTTTTGCTGCTTGGCTGTGAGTGGTTCTACCCACAATGTGTTACTGCCATGATGTGCCACCACAAACTAAAAGCAATAGGGCCAACCAGTCATAGTCAGAAATCTCAAAAACTGTGATTCAAAATAAACCTTTTCTCTTTATAAGTTAATCTTCTGAGTTATTTATTATAGTGGTGCAAAGCTGACCAACAGCGGTCAATTGAGAACTGTAGTGAGCTGTTTGATAATATAGGTAAAATGCATGCTTAATCTTGATTCCAATTGGAATAGCTGGAAACAGACACAGGTCACCTTACTTCAACAGTTAAGTGAAGTTGAGTGACCCTTATCTTATCTCACAATTTTCTATAGCTTCCATTTGTTCATGGATGAGGCTGCCTTATCTTTGTTGGTTGAATGATGATTTCTATGCTTTGCTTCTTGGGATCTTCAGACAGCCTCCCACAGACAAATTAAAACAGAGGCTTGAAGCATTTTATTTTTTTCTTCTAAGCACTTTAGGAGAAAAACAACTTTTTTTTTTTTTTTTTTTTTTTTTTTTAGTGACAATGCAAGAGGCACATTCCTGCCTCTGGGTCTTAGCACTTACCATTCCTTTGGCCTCACATTCTCTTCCTTGCTCTATCTTCATGCAGCTCTTCCCCCTCTTCCTTAGTCACCTTCTCACTGAGTCCTTCCCTGGACATCATTTCTAAATTCCATGCTTCTCCTTCTACTTTGTATTCCCATTCCCTATGTAATTTTTCTTCTTTACCAGTTTTCACTGACATTATTCATCAGGTACTTACTTATTTTATTGTGTTTCCCCAACTAGTATGAGAGCAGGAATTTTTGTGTATTTGTCTATTAAACCCCACAAGAGCAGGAATTTCTGTTTTTTTTTTTTTTCCTATTCTCTTCACTGATGAATCCCCCACACCTTAAGCAGTACCTGACATATTTAGTTGATCAGTCAATATTTGTTGACTGACTTATAGTGGAATGAGGCCTGGCTTTGGATAAATAAAAGCCTGGGTTAGAATATAGACTTTCTGTTTGGTCTAGGGTAATTCATTTTAACCCTCTGAAGCTTAGTTTCCTCACCCATGAAATGAAAATAACTATCACAAGGTAGTTTTAAGTGTTCAACAAGATAATGTAGACTTAGTATCTGATCTTATTGGAGTCACATTGGTTAGCCTTCTTTCCAAATTGAGAGAGATCTCAGAGATTTATTTTCTGATATTATTTCTCCTCTTTCCACAAACCTTAATTATGATTGAACATAATCTTAAATTAGGGTCAATTGAGGGGGATCTAATTTACAAAGGATTATTACAGGAGGACTGAGGTGTAGGGGAACATAAGCAGTATCGAAGGAACCCAGGGAATAGCAGAACAGTCATGACCTCTAGGCCTACAGGAACAAAGGGAAGGAAGAGTTGGGCAATTTGCCTTGAAAGGACCAGGGACTCCCTGGAACAGAGCTCGCTCTAGGGAACCTCATAGGAAGAAAACCAGGAAAATAAATAAATGGTGACCTCTCACACGCCTTTATTCCTTCGATGACTTCCTTTAGGATCTCCTATCATCAGAGACAATTATAAGCCAGAGGGTTGGGGAGTCCCAAGATGTCAGTCATTCAGATTAACCCTTTGTGCAGAAAGCAGGTGAAGAAGGATAGAGAGTGAATCTGGGGGAACAATAGGAAGCTTCCAGCCTAATACTTGCTATATAAGGGACAGAGAGTAAGACTTGGTTTGGCTTTCAGTTGGCTTTCACTTTTGGGTTGGGATGATTGACTAGTAACTAGAACTTCCATACAGTGTCGTAAGTGGCATAAACAAGCTTGCACAGAGTGTTATGGACCATATAAGACAGCTATCCCTCTCTTTTTTAACACATTTCTTTTACTTATTTATATGTGGTGCTGAGGATGGAACCCAGGGCCTCACAAGTGCTAGGCGAGTGCTCTACTGCTGAGCCACAACCCCAGCCCAGACAGTTATCTCTTCCACAACTAAATTGTAGAAGGTTGTAGGTAATGGTGTTGGCAGTTTGGGAAAGGTTTCTGAAACTCGAGAGGATGACAAATTGAGTCCATTTTAAAGTATGAGAAAAATCTTAAAAAGATGTTTCTGATTAAATGCAAAAAGATGGGAGTATGGTATGGAAGTGAGGATGAGAGTAAGAGGTAGAATGAGATAATTTTAAGGGTATTTTCCAGAATTAATATTTTAATGACTTATTTATTTATTTATTTATTTACCCTGTTGCCCTGTTGCTTCTGGATATTCAGACTCTAGATCTTTAGTAAATGCAAACCAGTATAACATTTTGTAATAATTTCTCTTGTTCGCAGAATTTGACTTTGTTTTAACAACAAATGGTCTTAGACTTAAAATAACTAGATTTATGGGGTAATAAAATGGCTCAAAAATAGATCATGTAAGCTATTTGCATAGTAAATCTTTTAAAAAAATTTTTTTTAGTTGTAGGTGGACACAATACCTTTATTTATTTTTTAATATATATTTTTAAGTTGTCAATAGACCTTTATTTTATTGATACGCAGTGCTGAGAATCAAACCCAGTGCCTCACAAGTGCTGGGCAAGCGCTCTGCCACTGAGCCATAATCCCAGCCCAATATCTTTATTTTTATTTATTTATTTGTATGTGGTACTGAGGATCGAACCTCGTGCCTCACATGTGCTAGGCAAGTGCTCTACCACTGAGCTACAAACCCAGTCCATGCATAGTGAATCTTCAAGACAAAAATATACTGAATTATACTTGGGTAAAGTGCAAACCGTCAAGTTTGAGTTAATATTCATATTATTTGACATTCTCTTTATATTCATTGTTTTAACTTGCCAAAAAACCCTATATGATTCTGCACCTTGACAAATTTCTAACAAGCAAGCTCATTATACAGCAGTTGTATGTGGCCATAAGAAAGGTGACTACATGTGTAATTTAAGGTCTAAACAGTGTAACACAAATGAATGCATGAAGGAGTCAATTACAGTGGGATGACCGTTGTTGAGATTGGTTGGAGAAGACCAAAGAGGGAAGAAAGTAAGCTTTTCTTGAGTTCTTTTCCACGCACCACAATTTGTGATAGGTTTGCCAGGTTAACCAATTAGCCAGCAAGACCCCAGTATACTGAATTTGGTGCACTGAGAGATTGCTGCAGTATATATTTTCTGTGTAATTAAGTGTAATTATTGTGAAATGTAGTGAGGCACTTGTCCGTAATCAAAATCAAACAAGAATTTCCAGAAGTATCCCGGCTACTGGAGCTACAAATGTCAAATGGTTTGGGGAAAACATAACCAATAATTATAAACAGAACTAGAGTGGGAAGCGTGGGCAGTTAGTTATACTTCAAACAGCTTCACAAGATGTTTGGGATGTATCGTTGAGAAATCTAGAGAAATGAATCAAGTTAGACCGGGAAAACGCAGTAAAGGCAGGCGAAGAGCACAGTCCCGGGCCAGCGACCCTTAACAGTTTGGAGCGGCTCTTCTAGCACCCACCGCCTCTTTCTTGGCTCTATTGGCTGTGTGGTTGGACCCTTCCCTCTTCCGCCCCGCCCCTGCTCACTCTCCCAGTCCCGGCCCCGCCCATGATCAGCCCTCGCCCCGCCCACCCTCCCTGGGCCGCAGCCGGCTCCGCCCACCCTCCGCCGCGCGGCGCGGCGGGGCGGGTGAGGAGGAGCGGCGCTCCGGAGCGGGGGGGAGATCCGCTGCCGAGTTACGGGAAAGTTGGTCCGAGTTTTGGGAGTTTCCCTCGGGCTCGGCCGGCCGGTGCCTCGGCTTCTTTCCTCCCTCTGGCCTTTGTAGTCCAACCGGTCTCTCTTTCTGCTTCGGGCCGCCATGGAGCAGCCGCCAGCGCCTAAGAGGTAACGAACGCGGGGAGCGGGGAGAAGGAGGGAAGGACGCTGGGCGGGGGTAGCTAGGCCCGGTCCTGCGGCGACCCTCTCCCGCCCGGATCCTGGCGCGACTAGGGTCCCGAGGCAGTCTGAGTGCCCGGCCGCGTCGGTCCCCGAGGCTAGGGGGCCCGAGGGGTCCGAGGCTCGCCTCCCCTCCCCTCCCCTCCCCCGTGGCCAGCGGGGCCTGGCGGGCGTGGAGAGTTGTGTGGGCAGCGCCGGGCTTCGCGGGGCCCGACCTTGGGGCGGTTAGGGTTTTCCCTGGAGGCAACTTCACGAAGCCTGACCTAAAACGAGGAAATTAATTGGTCTTCTTACAACCATGTCCTTTTTCTTGTCAAACGTTCTTCATGATGTTACATTTATTTTCTTTTTTGAGATATAGGGTTATTTGCAGTTTAAGGAATAAGTATTAATAGCTAAACTGTGTAAAACTCACTGTGGATATAGTGCACTGACAGGTGTTCTTCTCCCTACCCCCTCAAGTTCAGAAGAGTTTATGCATGCAAGACAGCAGGAATCTTAAATTAGAACCCCTTCCTCATATAGTTTTGCTTGTAAAAATAGTGATGCTTTGATATGGTATTTATTGTTAGTTTACATTTGATGTTTGATATATTGAAAATGTAAGAGGTGGGGGAACAAAGTAGACGTTTGAACTTTTACATTTGCAATGATCTTAGGAGGCTAAATCAATGTTGTTCATGGATATAAGTTCATAATGTGCATCCCTGCTCCCCAGGAATTAAACAACTAATTGTTTGATGGTGTATAAAACATTTGGTTTTTAATTTATAAAATAAGTATACTAATCTTTCTCCCAGAGAGTGCTGTTGTGAAGATTAAAGAGCTCATGTGCTTTGATACCTAAATAGATGAAAAGTGTTGAATTCACAAACATGGAATAATTAAAAGGTAGGGACTTTGGGGCCAATTGTGAATTGTGTGACCTGAGCCTTAAGGCCTGGAAACCATCTGTTCAAGTGAGAAAAGGAGGGTGTGGAGAGGTTCCAAAAGGACCTCCTGTCAAGAACTGTGAAAGCAAGTCAATAGATCTATTGAGCATTTTGTAAGGTGTCTGTCTTCTGGTACTCACTGTGGACTTAGTTTTGATATTATTGAAGAAAATCGGGAACATTTTTTTTTCTTTCTCTCTGCTTTGGAAGTACTGTTAGGGGGCACTGCTGACATAATGCCATAGGCCAACTTGAACAACTTTGAGTTGAAGTAGAATCTCTCTGTATTGATTAGCTCTGTGTGAGTTATCAGAGTGATGGAGCACTTGCCTCCCATGTGTGAGGCACTGGGTTCAATCCCCAGCATCACATAAAAATAAATAAATAAAATAAAGGTATTCTGTCCATCTACAACTTAAAAAAAAGGAATCCATTGTCTTACGACAACTGGAGGAGTTAGGGGAAGGTGTGAGTATTTTATGCTTTTCAAATTGGTGATTGTTCGTTTAACAGGCTTATTTTTAACTCTCTTCATAGATTTATTTGACCTAGAAAGGCATTTCTTGTTAGTGTTTTTTGCTTTTTTTCTTTCCCTAAGAGACAGGGTCTCACCATGTTGCCCAGCCTATGCTTGAACTCTGGGGCTCATGTGATCCTCCTGCCAAAGCCATCTGAGTAACTGAGACTACAGGTGAACACTAAGCCCCCAGCTCAAGCACACATTTTTGAGGAACAAAACATATGTGATATTAATCCATTTTATTTGAATATCTTTTAAAAATTTCATAGCATTTTCATATTATAATATTTTATCCTCCTGACAACCCCATGGAGTAGGTTGAATTATAGGCAGTAATCCTGTCTTATAACTGAGTAACAGAGTTTGCTACATGGAAGGCTATGACAGGAATTACTGACAGTGAGTTTTTGGGTTGCCCCTATTGATCATTACCTCCTAATAGTAAAGCATAATTACCATTTTTGAGGTCATATTGTTTTCCCGAAATTCATACAGTAACTGCTACCTAACAATGGGACTTGTTTGTAGAAATTCATTGTTTGGTGATTTTGTTGTGCAAATATAGAGTGTAAAGCTATGTAGATGGCTGTAATGTCATTATGCACTGTAGTGTGTGTGGTCTTGCAGTGTGGCTGTGTGGCACATGACTGTAAATACATTCTTTTGTTTAATCATCTTAAGAAATAGTGATCCTGGCTCTGTCACTTACTATGTTCTAAATTTAAATTTCTTCATCTGTAGAATATGGGGGATTAATAATGAGGTCACAGTGAAATACTTAGCATAGTACTTCATAATATGTTCAATAATGTTAGTTGTTAACTTGTATTTTGCTTATTAAATGAGACTCAGAGAGGTTAAAATAATTCGGTTAAGTAGAGAAGGTGGTAAAACCCTGAATCTGATTGTGAAGGCTGTATAATCTTATTGTTGTACAGTGATACCTTTTTTGAAGCTTTCTTAACATTCAGTAATGTAGTGGTCATCTTTGTCTGCCATTTCTTGGTTTCCTTTGCTTACTCTCTTCTTAATCTCTCTAAGAGTGCTATTTAGCGTTTCTGCCTTGAGTAGTACTTCCTTAGTGTTCAGACACTTTTACATGGTCATATCTGTGTTGCAGCAACTGCTGCTGCTCAGTTGGCATTTTTGCCTTCCACCCCATTCATTCCCAAGATTTTCAGCAATGACTTCTAACTGAGCACTTTAGTTCAGTGGTTTTCCAAAATATTTTAACAGAAACATTTTAATAACAGAAAAGCTCTGAAGAGTAGGGACAGTGCTCCAAGAACCTGGTTCCTAATCCCTTATTTCTTTTCCTTTTTTGTTGTTCTGTAGAACCTCCTAATGTACTACACAGTTTGCTTTAGTTTATCCTGCAGGTTGCTTCTGATTTATTTTGCTAAAACATTACTTCAGTTATACTACACCTTTCTTTGGGATTAGAGAAACACTTGTCTACTTAGTATCCAAAGCCTCTATCACTTGATCTCCCCTTTAGCCTTCAGTTACTCTTCTCCAAGGTGAATCTGTCCTCATAAACTTAACCCCGTTATTCTTTATTTAGGTTATAGGCTATGAGTATTCCTAATTTTGCCTTTGATTATTCTTAAAAGTTCTTAGTGTCTCCCCCCCCCCCCCAATCTGTTCTATTTCTTCAAGGCCTGCTTCATAAAGTATCTTTTTGAATACTTTCTAGCCTGAGCTATTTCTCTATATTCCTAATATACTCATTCGATTATATGACATCTTCGTGTTCTTTTTTTTTTAAGAGAGAGTAAGAGAGAGAGAGAGAGAATTTTTTAATATTTATTTATTTTTAGTTTCCGGCGGATACAACATCTTTGTATGTGGTGCTGAGGATCGAACCCTGGCTGCACGCATGCCAGGCAAGCACACTACCGCTTGAGCCACATCCCTAGCCCTCTTCCTGTTCTTTTTTATTATTAAATTTTGGGCCTCCAGAAGACAATGGGGACTAATTTAATTTTTTTCTTTAAAGTTGAACCAGCATGCCTTTATTTTATTTGTTTATTTTTATGTGGTGCTGAGGATTGAACCCAGTGCCTCACACGTCCAAGGCAAGCCCTCTACCATTGAGCTACAGCCCCAGCCCATGGGGACTAATTTATAAACATATATCACACCCTCCAATTTAAGAGAGACAATGTTTCCAATATATTTGAAGCCCTCTGTGTAAAAAAATCTCTTCTCAAATATATTCCCTTCCCATTCCCAAAAGGGTGATTATAGTTCTGAATTGGGTATATGTCCTTCCTATACCTGTTTTTATATTTTTAACATACACATACACACATCAAACATATCACACACATATACACATATCTAGTGTTAATCTCAGCTTCATCACTGATTTGAAATTTGCTTCTTTGGATATCATTCTTCTCTGGGAGTTGAAAATTACGGGGTTAAGAATTATGACTCAAGAGTTCTAGACAATCTGAAAGGCACCTCTCACCCTTCTATTCCTTGATTTGGTTTCTCTGACAAGGCTTGTGTAAAACATGATTAATATCCTTGTCACTGACTTGCGCGCCAGACTGACTTAGAATCTCAGCTTTCCTTAACAGGTCTGTTATAGAAATCTTCAGAAGCATGAGAACTCTGATTACTAGCAGGTATGTAATTGTATAAAATGTTCTGCAAAAAGAGATAGAATATTGTTGACTAAAGAAATACACTTTCCCAGATAGGTCTTGTTCCTCAACTAGATTATAAGATTAGTTGTTATTTATTAAAACTTGTCAATTAAGGTATAGTTGGAAGAGAGTTGGTGTTGGTATGAAATAGTGAAAACACTGGAAGGATAATAATAGAATGAGTTATTGAAGCACATGCTCAAGACAGATGAGGAAAGTTCTTTGATTTAAGTTATAGTTAGATTCTGTGTTTTTTTTTTTTTTTTAATAGTATGAAAGGATACTTTGGGGGAAGTTGAAGACTGAAGTCAAAATGTTAGGGTTTCAGTCAGAATATATTCATATTGCAGGGCACTGTGGTACATACCTATACTACGAGTGACCTGAGAGCCTGGGGCAGGAGGATCACAAGTATGAGGCCCACATTGGCAACCTAGTAAGACCCTGTCTTTAAAAACAATGAAGAAGAAGAAGAGCAGGGATGCAGCTCAGTTGTAGAGTGCCCCTGGGCTCATTTCCCAGTTTTGCAAAGAACATTAACACAAGTAAAAGGTGAAGGTAAGAAAAATATAAGGGCAGATTTTTCTATGAATAGATGGATTATCAGTGAGACAATGATAATGGAATGAAAAAGAAAGGTAAAATGATGAATATATAGGAGAATAACATAGAAAGTCTTCATGTACTTCTTAACATGAAGAGCCTCATTAGCCTGTAGCATCTGTAGCATTGATCCTAGGCCTAGAATTAGAAAAAATAGATGACAGAGAACTCTCATCTCTCAGGATTTGAATTGGGTGGGACAAAGCAACAAACCAACTAACTAGATAGTAGAATATT